ACGAGTCGCTTCCCTCGGAGAATCTATTATATTGTGGTTAATTTTATAATAAATATATTTAGGATAAAATGCACTTTTGGTCCCTAAATAATAGGGGTCACAAGTTCTCGTCATCATTAATTTTTTACTTACAAAATTAGTCACCATCTTTTCATTTATTCAACAATTTTAGTCAATTTAACGATCAACTAACAGTCAACTCTTTTCTCGGTTAAGTTTTTAATTTTTATTATTTTTTTTACTAAACTAGGACCCGTAATGTGTTTTGAAACAACAAAATCAGTCCCCTAATATCTTTTTTTTTTCAACAATTTTAGTCACTATAACAGAATTTTTAAAAATTTAATGGCCCAATTCAATTTTTCTTTAAGTATTTATTTTTTATTATTACTTAATGAATCATGGGTCCCACAGGTCCTTGATCAGAATTTTTTTAAAAAAAAATAAATTAAACGAATATTGAAGATATTTCAAACCAATTTCCTAAACCCCAAATATTCTGCTCCCTGAGAAATAGATTCCAAAAAAAAAAAAAACAACAACAATGAAAACAATCAATAATGAGGCTCCTTTTCTGGGTTACTTTGCCTGCTGGGAGGTAATGGTTAGACGTTCAGGAGCAGTATATTGGGGTTTAGGAAGTTGGTCGGAAATACTTTCATTATTTTTTTATTTATTTTTTCAAAAAAAATCTGATCAAAGACTTGTGGGACCCACAATCAATTAAGCAATCAATAACAAATAAAGACTAAAAGGAAAATTGAATTAGGCCATTAAATTTTTGAAAATTCACTTAAAGTGACTAAAATTGTTGAAAAAAAAGATATTAGGAGACTGATTTTGTTGTTTGAAAATACATTATGGGTCCTAGTTCAGTAAAAAATTAACAAAAATTAAAAACTTAATGGAGAAAAGAGTTGCCTGTTAGTTGACCGTTAAATTGACTAAAACTGTTGAATAAACGAAATGATTGTGACTAATTTTGTCAGTAAAAAATTAATGGTGACAAGAAGTTGCGACCCCCCATAGTTTAGGAATCAAAAGTGCGTTTTGTCCATAAATTTATTGATGTTGAATATACTTTATAAATGTTACTACCAATATGGTTTTTTATTTTTCAATACACTACTTAAATATAAGTCTCTTGGACTAAGACATTGGGTGTCAATTAGGCGATCTCATCCGTCGGAGACTTTAGATCGGATGGTCCAACTTTACTCAAGCATCATCAATTTAAGTGGGGACAAAATTGACAATTCATCTATATTTTGCAAATTCAAACATACACATTCCACTACTTTCGTTTTCACAATAAAATCCCCAAACCCCCAAAACAACGTCATTTCATGGGTGTTTAATTTTTTTAAATTTTTTTCCTGATTAAGACTCAATGCAAACAATACTCTAATTTTCTTCTCCATCTTTTTTTCCTCCCCATCAGCCATCGGATCCTCATCATCAATTAAGGATTTTTATTCAATTTTACTTCTAATCTCAACCATTACAATGGTGCACACCTTCCTCAGCATATACATAGGCCTCGTACACTAATTTGACTTCACTGATTTAAACTCCAGGATTGTAATAATGACCTATTAGGATTTTCAAAGTAACCTATTTCCTCATAATTATTAGGTTTGCCTCTAATTCTCTCCTTTTTCTCTACCCCCCATGTTGGCTTGGTCTCTGAGCTTTATTTTTCCAAAGACTCATGTCCCACTTATGCTTGAAATTGTAGCTTTATAGAGATGATCAACCGGATAGACTTGACGAGATTCGGGAGAAAGAGCATGGTGATGGATTTTCAATCAAGATGCAATGACAAAGTGTTGCCAGCACCATTCAATTTGTCCATCCAAATTAAGTTAGGACAATAAAGAAACTAGCAGTAACATAGTAGTTGTAGCTTCAGAGTTGAATTAATAGTTGTGGCACGTTTGAATGGCACCGATTAATACTGATGAAGCACATCGGCTCGTGTAGACCAGCAAGTCTGCCCTGGCTTGATCTGATCCAAAATGAGTCGATGTTTAACGTGCCATTGGTTTGGGTTTTTCTTTTGGTATTCAATAGTTTATAATTTATGTTGTGGTTATTTTTGGTTTTCTTGGTGTAGATTTTAATGGTGAAATTATTTGTTGAACAATAGAAATTCTACTCCTTGTGATATGCTTCGGCGCAAATTAACATAAATTTAGCCTAGGAATATGTGCGATCCACTAAAAGATGTGACGATTTCATTTCTTCTCCCTTACTATATTTCTAGGTTTTTAAGTTTTTTTAAATAGCTTATTGCAGTTGTTGCTACTAAGCAATTGCATTTAAAGTTACTCAAATCTGCATGTTTGGCTATCATGTTGGTGTTATCATATGAATGCTCAAATAGATTAGTTACTCTTGTGTTTTAGTGTGACTAGATCACAGATGGATATGATCTTTACAGGGAAAGAAGGTGTCTGGATCAAATTGCCAATTAAACTTGTTAATATCATTGAGCCTTCTCTTAAGGTTATTCCATTTTGTAACTTGGAAGAATCATTTGTTTTTTGGGGATTTTGCCTCTTTGGATTAACTTAAATCTGAGTTGCCTACACTTCGCTGGTGTGGTTCTATTTCCACCATGCAGAACAAAGTTATTTAATACTTGTGCATTGCCTTTCTGTTGCTGCAAACACTCTTCCAGCAAATGCCTCACATCGAGTTGGAATCGGTGCTTTTGTCATGAATGACAATGATGAGGTATTGCTTGTTTACACTTTTTGCTCATCTCCACTTGATATTGGGTTAATGTTCTACAAATACTTGCTTGCACCACTGAGGTTTTCCATGCTCTAATAAAATTTGCAATACTTGAATTTTGTCGTTTTTTTTTTCAGGTAATACCATTCTTGAGTCCTTTGCAACTCCAGATTATGATAAGTTATTAAGGATGTTCAAATGAAAAGAAAAAAAAAACACGAGGATGGGCGAGATTTATTTGTTTAAATTAATTTTAACGTAAATTTTGAACGTGCATTGGAAAGTTTGGCTTCGGCTATGTGCTTTACTTGAGGTTTTTCTTGAAGCAAAAATATGAGTTTGCAAGATTTGTTACATGTGAATTGATTCTTGTGGTTATGCCATTCACCGATTTGTAAAGATGAATCACATCATAATGGAAGAGCTGTTGTTCATTATCTGCCAAGATTCTTCTCTCCAAATCTCTATCTTGGTAAAGAACATATTACAAGGTTATTTCTTTAAAAGATTTATGCTTTAATGACGTTTTGATTTCTAATTTGGACTTAAAATATGACAAAGTTTGCAAGCTAGCTTACTTGGGTAATAAGCTATGAAATAAAATAGTTGCATGACATATCATGTGTCTATATTTGAAGAATTGAGTTATCAATATGGAAATCTATGTAACTTTTGGTGCTTTGTCGGCTTAGAAATCCTTTTTGATTCTTTGAATGTGTATTACAATTCTATAAACGTTGTTGAAACTGGATATGATGGAACTGGTAGTTAAGCATATTGCAATGATCTTTAAGATCAAGCATTCCTTTTATTTGCTTATTGTTCAATTGGAGACGAAGAAGAAAAAAGAAAAAAAAAAGGTTTCTAAACATTATAATTATTCCTTCAACTTATTGTTTTGTCCGTTTTAACTAGAGTAAGAAAAAATAAAAAAGAATCCTTTGCATTTGATGACAGATAAGAACGAAGCTATCAGGAAGGTAGGGATGATTACATTAAAACTTTTCTTTCTTGAAACTCTTTGACAAGGTAATTATAAGCTTAAAAGCCTTCACCAGTTTAGTTATGTCCTTTTTCATATAATTTCACTTGTCAGTTGGATTGGATCTCATGATGAAATTGTAATGTCATTTGTAATGCTACAGCAACTCAGAAATTTTCCAAGTAGCGAGAAATTTGTATTCTTTCATTAGCTTTATTTATACTCCTTATGCTTGGAACTGGAATATTTAGAAGTGATTCATATTGCGACTGATGGGATGTTAGGTATTTTAATCCCATGAATAAACATATTTTACAAATGTGATTGTCCAATAATAACTAAGAGTATGTTGTTTACTTTGTGTATATATCAGGGCTTTCTCAAAAATTATACATTTATATATGAGTGACATTTGGGTTCTATATAAAATCCCTGGTTATTTTATATCCTTTGGGATGTCAATATTGATATGTTCTTTGGAATGTCAACATTGATGCGCAATAGTTTCTTAAATTGCATGCTATCTAAAGCGTCAACCCTACGCTCTTCTTTCTCGTTACAGTTCGTCATTACAAAGTTGTCGGAATTGTTGATGACCTAAAATCTCTTATAAGATAGCAACAACTATTCATTAAATAAACTTTACCGATGTGAAAGAGCAATATATACATCACAGTGTCAGCGGTATTGGGAATAGTGGAAATGGAACCGGAAGCAGAAGTGATAGTAATGAAAATGAAAGTGGAAGCGGAAGTTCCAGTTGGCCAGTAGCTATAGTCAGAGTGATAACAATGATGTTGGCTTCTTGAACTCTATTTGAAAAGATCGGTTATGCCTTTAGATATAGATTGTTTTTACCAATACTTTCAAACTGTTAAATTTAAATTTTAAAAATGTGAATTGATGATTTTATTTGACGATGTTCCATTTACGATTTATGATTCTAAAACTATTAAACGTTTTAATTTTGCAAGAAAATGTCACTATATCAGCATTGTAACTTCATCCCATATAAAATAAAAAAGATCAACTTCTCCAGGGGTCCATTACTCCATTAATGAAAAAAATCTTAAAACAAAAAAGCACTAGATAAATAATGCACAAATATTTTGATCTTTTATTTTTTTTTGTGTATTTAATAAAAATTTCAACCTTTTTCAAGTCCTTTTCAACGTTATGTGTTTTGCATGACACTTTAATCAAATTCTAATTATATAATAAATTAGGAAACCTCCTAATCCGCTTCTAAACCCTAGAGGACTCTCACTGAAGCGAAGCAATGACATCGTGGTGGAAGCCAACATTGGTTCCGGCAACACGCAACCATGGTACGAGCCTAAAGTGGGAAGTATCGCTTGAGTTTTTAGATTTGAAGCCGGCTAGATCTATAATCGCAGCCTCGGTTGACGTAGGAATATCATATCTTGCGGAATTTTCTAGGGCAAAGTCTCGACGAAAGCTCCAAGTCTCGCAGACTGCATCCGGCAATAACTATTCTGAAGGATCAACCTGCAATCCATATCAGAAGCATCAACACCGCCTTTGGTCTGAAGATGGTATTGGAGGAACATGCTATGAAGTGTCCAAAAGCTCCATAGATCCTTTCGGTTGTGATATCTGGAGAACAAGCTGTCTTGATTTATCAAGTTCTGGATCCCCTTAGTGTGCCTCTGGACTATGTTGATGAAGTTGATGAAGTCGTTGCCGCAGCTGAAGGTAATGCAGCAGCAACTAACCTTGTTGCAGCAGCTAAAGTTGCTCTTATTGATGTGGATGAAGTTGCAGCTGGTGCGTTTGACAAAGTTGCTCCCGTTGATGAAGAAGTTGCAGTTGGTGCCGGTGATGAAGTTGATGATGTTGGAGCTGAAAATGCAATTAATGAAGTGGACTGCCTAGTGCTGATCAAGTGATTTTTGTTGATGATGATTAGGACAGTAATATATCATGACTGTAATTTGGTACTAGAGTAATGTAATATGGTACTAGAGTAAAATATCTAATTTGGTATTAGAGTAGGATATGATTATGGAGACTAATTTGGTACTGAATGGATAATTTCTCTATTTTCTTCAGTGTTTAAAAAAAATTCTAATTATATAAAAGGAACATTTTAAGCAAAAATAGTATTTAACAAATTATTATTTTTTTAAATAATAGCAATCAAATTAACATAAGAAATGGTCGCGACGAGAACCGCACTAGTAGGTCTAGTTTTTTTTTTGAAATTCCATATAAGAGAATTACAACTACCACCAACACCGCCTCTGTCACCAGCCCCAGCTCTAGCTCCATCTTTTAAGCCGCCACAGCCCAACCCTTCACCATCACTTCCTCCCTCACCAGCAGCTCAACCAACATTTAGTGCAACACCGTTACAGCTAGAAAGATAATCTCTTATTTGGAGTAATAGTCATTGATTCCAATGATACCATTTTTAAAAAGTCAACAAATTGGTAATAGTGAATTTCTTTGTCTCTTATATAATATATTGATTTAATGTTTCTATAATTTTAGGTTATTGATTGCAATGGCTCTCTTCATTTTCATTGGAATGTAGTGGTGAAATTCATATCACCATTTTTCTCATTTAACCATTTTATATTTAACCATCATTGCGTACCGTCACTATAATTGTTATTTTAAACAATTTTAATTAACTTTCATTAGTGAACTACATATTTTGTAGAAAAGTACAATGGCTAAATTTTGTTAAATATGTCCAATGTCAGTATAATATTTTTTTTAGTTTAAGATTCTTCCTATTTCATCCACACATCCTCTCCATTTAAATAAAAAAAATAAACAAAGACTAAGCCAAAAGCAAGGTAGACAAAAAAATAGATTCATCTTAGCACAGAAATACACCTCATGGTGTCAATACATGGCATTAATCGTTGGGACTACATTGTGTGTGGTTCAGAGGACAAAGGTCTCAACATATGGGAGTATTAATTAGGAGAAGTAGTTGAGAAATTAAAAGCTCACAACAATACAGTTATTTCTGTCTCTACAACCCTAATAACAAGAGATTACATCTTACATCGTTCAATGGGACAAAACAATCAAATTTTATACTCAAAATGAATGATTTGTTAGCTTTTATATAATAATTGACACAATTGATGATGAATTAGAATGACTCTATTTTCAATGAATTATAAGGATTGTAATTGTGTGGATTTTATATGATAACTGATTCTACTGGTGATGAATTAGAATGACTCTATTGTTAATAAATTAGGAGGATTGTGATTGTGTTTTAGGGAATGTAATAGAAAGACGATAACGTTTGAATTAGGAAGATCGTGATTGTGCTTTGAGGAATGTAATAGAAACACTCTAGTGTTGATGGTTTAGAAAGATAGTTCTTTGGGAAATGCAAGCAGTTGTCAAAAAATAATAACAATAAGTAAACTTTTAACCAAAATAAACTCACAAGAGAAATTCAATTTTATGGTATGGGCCACAAAGGGTAGTACCTAAAGAAAGAATTTCCTTTGAAAAGGTTCATGATACATTGTGTTGTTATTATCCTAAAAACTCCTAGATATAATGACATACTCAACAATAAAATGATCGACCACATTAGAACTGTGTGATGGACAAAATTTTTTAGAATTGTTCAAGGATTTGAACATCTTTAAACTTTGGTAGATGTTGGTGGTGGTTTTGGAGTTAACCACAAGCCCCTCTTTTACCTTCGAAGAAACTAACACTCGCAGGTTGGTAATCATTTTTTGTAACCAAAAGGCTCAACAATTGTGTGTTTCTTTCATGGCTTACTATGTGAATCTGTGATGAAAAATGATAAATAACTCTCTAAATATTTCTGAATTTTTGGTTTTAAGAAATTGGGTGGGAAACATGTTACCATAATGGATTAAACTTAGACATAGTCCAATCTATAAACTAGATATTGTCATATTTTATTTCAGAGAGATGTATGTTTTTTTTGAGATGATGGAAAGGGTAATTTTTTTGTTATTCTTTTATAAAACTTGATAGATCAATAAATTTATAACAGATTAATAATTATAGTCTAATTTTCTCCAAATCTCCCCAACCTCCATTGTTGAAAGTACCATCAACCTAAAAAAAACACATCTGAACTTGTGTTTGTTGAAATTAATTAGAAACTCTCTTAATATAATTGGCAAAATAGTTTATATCGACAGTTCGAAAAAGAAAGATTTGGATTCATTTATATCTTGTGTGGTAGTCACATATGTGAAATAGAATTAAAAACAAAAAACCTTATATTGACGTGTCACTATACAATCAAATTTTTAGTAGTAAAACTGAAAACTCTCAAGACAAGAATTCGCATGTTACTGAATTGAGTGTCATGTTGCTGAGTTTGGGATTTCATCATATCTGCTATCGGCTCTTTAGGGAAAAAACCTACAAGGAGAAGCTCAAATTGAATGACCCGACAATTTTTAGCCCCTTTTGATTAGATATCCTAAATATGTATAATATTTATGCCCATTAGGTTTCTAAATCTTGAAATTGTACTCGTTCAGACGTTAGTTCATTTTTTTATAATATGTTATTTGTACTATCCCTATTAAGATTTACCTTGTTTCTGTGAGAGAGAGAGAGAGAGGGAGAGAGAGAGAGATTGAAAGGTAATGTTTATGATTCTTCTATTTCTTTTCTTATGCTTCGTTTTAATTATCCAAGGGAAATAAATTAGTTTCATGAATGAATTTTGCCAATTTTTCAGTTACTCATTGCCGCACATAAATTTACTAGAAAATTTTGTTTCTTCTTTGATAGAAGACATCTAGGTACATCTTTGCGCATTGTGTGATTTTTTTTATTTTTATTTTTTGTTTTAAACTAATAGTCTACTAACATTTATAGAAAGTACATCATAATGTTTAATTCAAAGCTTATTAAATGGATATTCCATAACTTTTGATTCACAAGTATTCTTGAGCCGATTCACACTAATTTCAAACAGTACTTCTCGGAAAAAGGTCATTATATTAAAAAATTATATTCCATAATAGCCGATATTCACAAGTATTCTTGAGCCGATTCACACTAATCTCAAACAGTACTTCCTCGGAAGAAGGTCCTATCTTCGGTTAGTAAGACAAAAACCTCTTCGAGGCAGGGCACTCTAACTGTTGGTTTCACATCTTCCCCAAAAATGATTCACGAACCTAATAAAAAGACTAGACGCCTCTGCTATATACTACCTCCATTTACTTTTATCTGTCACTTCAGGGACATTAAGGAAATAATGATTGAGGCTTTAAGTTTTAAGTCTATTGTCTTTCTTGCCCTTAATTAAAGGTATTGGAACTACAAAAATATGAAATTAGAGTGCAAAAGGAAGTTGTCATTAATATATGTTATTAAAAGTAGAGAGAGCTAAGGGATAAATTGGAAAAACTATACTTAATGTTGTATTTGAAATGAAGTGCGACAGATAAAACAAAAATTGAGTTCACCCGAAAGTGAGAGTTATAAGTAAAGGAGATAGTAATTATTTAAAATACAATAGCTCATCAGATAGGTTAATCTATCTAATACCATGAAAACTAGTATCTCTATTACTAATCACGATGCTCACTCCACTTTTAAAGATACCACAAACGTTTTCTGATTCTTTCTCACATTTGAGAGCTTGTTCAGTGAGGTGTTCAACAAACTTGTTTATATACACCAATGGGCGGAACCACCTTAAAGAGTTTGAGACACTTTCTTCAAATTTTTGACTTGAGATTTCAATTAACCTGATGGTCTCAACGAAGTCTTTGAATTGATAACCAATCCCCTCGAGCAGCTTAATCCATGATATGTTTCGGACAAAACAAAGTTATAGAAACTTGTGGCAACATACTAGTTAAATTCAAGATTTCCAGCATGAAATAATGCTTAAGGATTTGAAAGAAGCGTGCTCTGATGTGACAACAATCTTAAAAAGTTAAATGAGTTAGAGTCAAGTGTTTTCAACACGTAGGAGTGAGTGTAATCCATAAAGTGCTAGTGTTTCGAGCTGAGTGGTTACGGATTATTTCGACTGTAGCTCTAGAAGTTTCTCTTTTAGTGTTCTTCACCAAGATTATATGTTTTCTTTCAATGAGTTTGTTTTAAAAAAAAAATGGTTCCATTTGCCAATTTCCTAAATACTCATTACTGAGTATAAGAAAAAATTAACGTTTAGCGCTATACTCTATTTAGTTTTCTGAACTAATAACTCCAGGACATATTATGGCTGAAATGAACTTTTAATATTAAAATGTGTGAGTAATAGTTAAAAAGAAATGTTTTATCAAAAAGATGGACTCTTAAAGATAGAGGAAATTTTACCCTTCTTTTCGGACTTTTCCGTTATTGATGATTTGAGGAGGTAATTTGCTCAAGACTATAATGAGGATATTGAGATATTAAAGCAATGGATAAATGAAGCAAATTGTACGCAGAAAATAAAAGAAAATATATCAGTATACTTGCCTAATGATACATTGTCATTGAGCGTGATGAAGAATGTGGAGTATGTAGAATGAAAATATTCAGTAGAAATAAGGAGTATCGGAAGTCAGAAGTTTCTACATTACCTACATCAACAACCCTTTTTATGTGTTTCCTTGTGGACATTGCATTCATGTTGAGTGTTTGCTCCACAAATCTGACTAGTTGCACTCCTCAAAACCATGGTGGACTTATTTTGGATCCACAAAAACAATTTACAAACCTTGGTAATAAACCAACTAAGAATATGATGTGCGAGAAGATAATATATCAAACTTAGATGCCCATATTGTGGTGTCCTAATGGTAGAAGAGATTTCAAAACCATTCATTCAGCTTGACTAAGTCAATGAGTTTGGGTCGTGAGTGATCCAAATAGCACGATAACATTGCAACTCAGCAACCGTCTTTACCTTCAAAGTTTT